GTTTGCTCTATGCTCCATTTGTCAGTTGATCAGTAGACGTGCTGTGCTCTCTCACTCACATGGCTACTTTGTTGAATCTCTTTCACTATTTACGCATTAGCCAGAGAACACGGGCAACCATGTCTAAGATGGATCATTAGAGAGCAGAGACAAGTGCACCATCACACACCCCACACAAGAGTAGGAAAATAACACTTTTCTCATGAGATGAAAACCGAATTGGACCAGAGTAAACACTGGAGCAGTTTACAACTCTGATCTCTGTTCATGAGTTGTAAACTGCTCCAATGTTTACTCTAGGCCATGTTTACTTGGGACCTACAGCTGGTTCTCTTTTTGCTTATAAGGTAAGATACGTCGTTCAAAATAACTCTAACCTGCACCGTGTTCCTTTGAAGCTATTAATCTGGAATAAAACATTTTATGTAAAAAAACAAAAACAAAATAGCACTAATGGAATATCACACTGCATTAAAAATCCTTTTTCCCCCCAGCAGCTTCAATTGTTATGCCTGTTCCTAGCTCTTAGTTCCTGATCTTGTAGGGGTGTAAATAATAACCGTTTGTATCGATCCAACAGCCGACGATTCGATGCAACGACACGTCCGCAAGAGTATTGATTCATGTTTTTTTATCCATTTGCTCCTGGGCGTAATTCTCCCTCCCGTGCTGCGGTGGCGCTACACCTATTTTGCCCTCCTACCTCGCTTCCTGGTTATACTCCTGCAGCAGTTTGTCGCAGTGAGCTTGACATAGACATTTTTGATTTATGCCCAATATTGAAGCGTGGTCTGTGCTACACGCTGTGGGTCTAGATACGGCCGAGGCGATGAGGAAGTGGGGGGGAGTTTAGTCCGACAACGGAGGGACATGAGGACCAAAAAGAGCGGAGATCCCGGTGGAAAAAGGGTCCCAGCTTTCTTGCGCGCCTCGATCTTCTAGCGGGTCCAATTTCAGGAGTTGTTTTCCGAAATTTCGGTTATAAAAACAAAACAAGCCGGCCTCCTGTCTGCGGCACTGTCTGCGGTCAGCTACAATTTGAGAGAGGTGCAGCGGAGCGTCTGTGGAGGGGGCGGGGACGTCTGGAGCCGAGGTATTGAATTGCACTAATTGAACTGATTTTGTACAGTATTTTTGGATGCAAGGCCTTTCAGAATCTATAAAGCAGGGATATTATTATTTTTCAGTGAATGAGGTTTTAATAGGAATAGGTGGAGTACAACTTTTATACTTCTGTTATTTGCTGTTGTTTCTCAAATAAAATGTATGAAGATATTACAGCTTTTATTGATTTATTTCAAATTTGAAACATTGTCTAGCCTGTAAGGTAAAAAAAAAAATTTAAAAATCAACCAATTAATCAAATTGAATCTTATCGTGGTGTATTCTTGAGTACCGAAAATAATTGAATCGTTGGGTCAGAAAATTGATACTGAATCGAATCGCCATGATGGGTGTGATTTACACCCCTAGTTCCTAGCGCATATATCTAGCTCCTAGCCCTTGTTCTTAGCTCCTATTCCTGGCTCATAGCTTCTGTTCCTTGTTATTAGCTCCTAGCTCATAGGTCCCTTTTCCTAGTTAAAAGCTCCTGTTCTCAGCTCCTGTTCCTAGCTCCTAGCCCCTGTTCCTAGTTCATATTCCATTGCATAGAATTATTGCATTCGAGTCACTAATTTGATGCAATCGACTGGTTTTCCTTAGATAAAAAACTTTGAATCAATTTGACTGTATGATCTGGTTGAATTGTATCTGTAAAGTGCCTTGAGATGACGTGTTGTAAATTGGTGCTATTTAAATAAACCAAATGGAATTGAATTGTTCTTATAATTTGGCTTTGTGGAGTTAAATGTATATAAAACACTTCAGTCGTAAATAATAGTTTCTTTGCTTAAAGTTATTTAAAAAAAAACCTTAAAGGAAAAGGTTAGGCTTGTATTCAGCACATTAAGGATTCAGTAAATCCAGTTTCTAAGTTATTAGGTGGTATAAAACCCTTAAAACACTTAAAAATGCAGATGTCGTCTTCGTATTTCTGATTTTAGAAGTTAGAAATGATTGGCCCCTTTGCAGGAGAAATAACTGTTTTTTCCCCATTTTAAAGACGTTTCTGCGGTAATCTAAACTCTGATAAAGACAGTCGCCCTGCAGCACAGCCTTTTCTCACTTCTGAAAGTGTGATTGTACTTGTGAAGAGCTTCTGTTTTCTTAATGTTTTCTTTTCTCACTTCACGCATTTAGAGGCTGCAATATTAGGAAACCCATCAGAATCCATGTTACCTGTTTTTTTTGTATCCGTTACATCCTGTCTGGGCACAGCCGTCTGTCATAAGACCGCAAATCTGACATTGTCCTGAAAACTAATCCGCACAAAAATAAAAAGGGATTTAGGTTGCTCAGTGAGGGCTTTAGCAGCTATTATAGGAAAACCATAATCATTGGAGACCAAATGAGTCAGATTTGGATGGTTGTTGATGGAACTGGAGTTGTTAGCCTGGGTCAGGTTGTTTTGCTTTGACTCAGACCAGATTTATCCTGCGGATATGTGCTTGGCAAAAATAATGAAAGCAATGGGCTTCTTTTTTTTTTTTTCACACATCACACCCACAGACTTTATTGGACAGGTTTTTGATGTAATATATAGGGAAGGGAATTATGCTTGGTTTAAAAATCTAAGAAGTGGGGCACGCATTTGTATTCTTCACCCCTTAGTTGATACTTTGTAAAACCAACTGTCTTATTAAGTAGTTTTAGTTGCTTTGGGTTTTTTTTTTTGTCTCTTGTTGCTCTACTCATCTAGACATTGAGATTTTTGTTTTACAATTTTCTTTTCCAAATAAATCTCAGTCGGATTGGATTGAGAAGACCGGTGTAGCTCAATTTTCAATTCTCTGTTAGGTTTAGATCCAAACTATTAATCGTTTTAACACATAAACACGCTCTAATCTTACTTTTCCCATTATAGCTCTAGTTGCACGATTAGAAAATAGGATCAGGCGTCTTTGGTCATTCTCATTAAGCGCTTCATGCAGTTTGATTCATTTTAGATATTTCAGTTTACTGTTAATGGTTCCTGAAAGTGTATTTCGATGTGAAGCAACAAGCCCTTTGGGAATGTTCCAATGACATGAAATAAACCTAATCTGCGTTTCATTAAAAATGTTTAATTAAAACCAACAGTGGAAGCAATGTTCATCACACGCATGGGTTTGTTACAAGCAAACTCAGTTAAAAATAATGAATCATCCAAGAAATTACTAAACTAAACTAAAAAAGTATTTGGCTTCTTAAATACTGAGTACTTGACGGACCATCATGACTTATTTATTGTTTAGAAATGATGTCATCAGACAGACTTTATTTATTGTTTAGAAAGGATGTCATCAGACAGACATTATTTAAAAAAATCTGGTATTTTAAATTGTAAAATACAAATAAATTACATGATTACAAAATAACAAATTCCTGCTGCTTTCCTAAATCGATATTTTTCAAGATAAAACTTATAAAGTAAATTGAATTTTTACGGGATATAAAGTAAATCCTTACTGTTATTAATGCATCTTAAATAGAGAAAGGTAAACTCTCACTGACCATA